TCATCACTACTGAGGTGAGGGCTACAGGGCGATAGTCATTGAGAGAAGCAGGGTGGGGTTTCTTCGGGACAGGAACAATGATGGACTCTTTGAAGCATCTTTGAAACTCTTGTCTTGCGTGTATATTATATTTAGCTTTACATCATTCTCCCTAATTTCAGCTATGCCCCAAACATCCTCCTGTGTGTGTTTAAACATCTGTCCTTCATGTTGTGTCAGAGAATTTGTGACTTCTCCCTCCTGGTTCCCAGCTCCTGTGTTTGGATCATGTTGTAATCCTGATCTTTTCTGTTGGATTTTTGCACCACTTTTGTTTTGAACTCTATTAAAAGCCAGTTCTATAGTTTCATTTGTCCGCATTATGATACACAGGATAAAATGCGTGTTTTAATAGGATTCTAAAAACTGGTTCCTCCGGTGCAATAAAAGTAAGGATTCGGAAGCTTCCAGAAAAATGTGTGCAGTTAAAAATGTTAAGAGACAACATGCATCTATAGTTGTGTGTGAATGTGCAGTCATGGCAGGGAGTGACTCAGCTACAGACCAAGCTCTCTGGCAGGAAATAGAAAATATCCCTCGCTCTCCCTCCCTCACGCATCCAGTCTGAAGCCTCAGAGCGACTCTGGGTTGAGTCCTGCAGCTGTTACTGGAAACATCGCTGCAGCTTCTGCCACTGCTGCTATGTTCTATTTAGAGAACCCATACAACAAAAATGATGCAGAGGAGAGGAGGCCAACACACCAAAGACTGAGCAAGCAGTACCAGCGGCTTGAAGGAGAGGAAGCATCTGAGTCAGTGAAATTTAAAATAATCTCATCAATAAAAGATAATCCACCTCAACTACATCTAAGCAGATTAAAACTCCATCTACATGAATGAATGAGTGTGAAGGGATGCCCTGACAAACGTGTCTATGTTTGAAGGTTGAGCTCCTGGAACAGCCTATGTCTGGCTCTCACTTACATAATACCAGAACTATCAAATAGATGTTCAGGAAGAACATCTATTTGATCTATTTATTTCAGTGAGATTCAACTGTGCTAGGATGGATGAAGAGTTTATTTAAAAATAGAGGAAATATAATCTATCCAGCTTGTTGACAACACAAAATGATTTTTTAAATTATTACAAAATCCCCACCAATTAAGTTGATGTTTCAAATGTATAATTTTGTCTAACTAAAAGTTCAAAACCTGCAGATTTTTTGGTAACTTTGTAAAAAGATGAATACTTTATTTATCCCATTTATTGAAAATTCTTTTATTTTATGATAACTGAAATTAGGCTCCAGCACTGGTTAACAAAATGCATGGATGGAAATGTAAAAAAAATAAAAATTACTGTGGGGGAAAAGTGAAACTGCTCTAGTGTCCCTGGGGATTGTTTACTCATGGGTGTGGAGTAATGTACTAGACTGTTGTTATGAAGGAGCAGCCGAGGCTGAAGGCAATGGTTTCGATTTACCAGTCAGTTTATATCTAACCTTCAAACATTTTAGCAGCTGGAATGAGTTTCCTCTGTAGGGTTACAGAGTTCAAGAGCTCAAACACGAGAGGGAATTTGGACTACAGCTGCTGCTCCTCTCCACTGATCTATCTGTGCAATATCTGGTCAGAATCAAGAGAAAAAGAGTGCCAGCAGTCATTTCCCAAAAAGTGCCGTTTCTGTCAAAGCTGTGGAAGGATTTAAACTGTTCGCAGACTGAGTATAAGCCGGACATCATTAATTCAAGCAATCAAAAATAAACAACATATTTCCTTCTTCTTACATAAATACTGATGTATAATACAGAGTAAGACCGACGGCTGGTGCTGCAGAATCTGAAGAATCTGGGGAGTGGCTGGACATAAATAAATGAACAGTCAGTAACTGAGCGAAAGCCAGTTATTACATAACATCCAGACCATGAAGAAAGGAAGGGCATCATGGGAAATTCACCACCTGGGGTCATACAGCTGAATCAGCTGAGGTTCTACACGTGTGCATGTATGCTACGCTATGCTACTGCCTTTAAATGCACCATGGTTACACAGAGAGAGACAGTGCGCGCTGACTCTAACGTTCCTGCACTGACACAAATATATACATTTCTATTTCATTCAGAACGCTAACAACATATTCAGGAACTTTCAAGTTAATACTGAAATTAAGCCTCAACTCTGATAACACCATGTACGAACATCTAAGTTACTTTTGGCTGCTCACTTATTCACACAGTTTCTCCACAGCAGGTAGCTCAACATGTCTGATTTGGACTCTTTAAGCCAGATGGACTTCCTGGCACAACCCCAAAGAAATAAACCCTTCCTTAGATCAAATCTGAGATCTTTCACTTGTAGGGCAGACTTGTAAACCACTAGTGTACACTATGGAGGCACTAATATCAGAACCTACCACTAAAATATAAATGTCAGTAATAGCTGCAAAGGGAGTGTCAAGGAGCTAAAAGGCCATGAAGTCCAGATGACAGCATGTATGAAACAACAGCTGCAAGTTAACATCTAAACATTTTTTAAAACTGAAGCTAATCAGAGATCAGCTTACTATAGCAGCCAATGAAGGATTTAATTTAATCTTAATCCCATACCACACAAACTGTCATCTCCAGCATCACAAAAGATGCTACAGACTCAAAAATGATGTTGATTCTCATCGAGCGATTCTAAATTCAACAGATGTCAAAGCCTTTTCTGTTTCCATCAAACAGAAATAAACAGGCTATCCATTCCTACCTTGAGCTGCACTAAGTGGACGTCCACGTGCCGGTTGTTGCTGTCTTGCCCCACAGAGTGTGTGAGCTGCGTCACTCTGTCACTGGTTGCTCTCAGCCACTTCTCAATCTCTGGTAGGTGTAGGACGACCTTCCAGTCGGCTCCAGTGTGGAGAGGCGGAGGTTTCTTTGACCTAAAGAAAAACATACATGCCAGACAAGACAAGACAGACAACCTCAACAATACAGACTTATAGCACTGCTACAGAATTACCTCGTGATCTTTTCCACAGACTTACTTAGACCTTAAGAAATAGTGTATAACATGAGAGAAAACACATGAATTGTTATGATCATCACTCTGGCTAGCTTTATACCTCCGGGAGTTGTCTTGTCCCATGTGAGGTCCTTCAGTGAGGCTTCCCTGACTGGGGCCTGGGCCCGGTGAGGAAGAGCCATCCTTCGACTGAGGCTCCAGGCCGAGAGGGGGAACAGTGATAGCAGCAAGTGAGCTCGAGGTGCTGGGGTCCAGGTTCGGGGTGACAGGAGTGACAGAGGTGAGCATCGGCGAGGCTGGCTCAGGGGCCACCGGTGAGAGAGCTACGACACTCATGGTGTTGGAGAGAGGGGAGGTACACAATTTCTAATGTGGGTTCACAGGACTCACTGAATAACACTGGAGAGAGAAGAACAGAGAGTATATAAAGGTCAATAAAAGCATCGAGATTCAGAGGAAGAACAAAAACGAAGGCTAAGGGACTGACAACAAACACTGCATCTACAACAGACACTAGAATAGCACAGTGGGCAGAAAAACTAATACTGAAAAATTTGAAAACAATAAGACGGGTTTAATTAACAGGGCTGCACCATCAATCATTTGTAATACTATATTTATATTTAAAAAACATTTAAAAGGCAGAAATGCTTTTCTTGACTGAATATATATTAAAAGTGGATCATTTTTAGTGAAAAATATCTTCAGACAATCATATATGAATGTTAATATTTTTCTAAAAATATATCAAAGTAATTCCTTCACAAAACTGATCAGTAATTTTTAAAACGCATTTATGAGTTTTAATACAAGTGCAACTTTGAATATTAAGGCTAGGTGGGAAGCTGAGATTGGCACTCAAATTTCAGAGGAGACTTGGGAAGAGGTGTTCGGTGAAGCCCATCTTGTGACTAATTCGGGGCTGTGGAGAGAATTTAAATGGGAGGTGGTCATAAGATGTTTTAGAACCCCAGAGATGATTCCTAAAATGAACCCTACAACTCCTGACACTTGTTGGCGAAATTGTGGTACTCACTTAGGAACCCATTCACACATATTCTGGTCATGCCCAAAAATTTGCTCATTTTGGAATGACGTATTTAAAGCCCTGAATACAGTCTTCCAATAACCATTAACAAAGAACCAACAGTTTGCCATTTTAGGGGTATTACAAAAGGGTTTTACAGGAAACAATAAAAAGTATCTCTTAAGAATCTTGCTTACAGCAGCACTAAAGTGTATCACCATTACACGGCTAAATCTTGACCCACCTTCATATAATATGTGGATTGATAAAGTAAGAGAGATTTATACTTATATGCTCTGCGGATTCAGAGAGAATTGTTCACCGAGCGTTGGCGACCCATACATGCTTTATCGTTTCAATAAACTAGCATAGGTTTGTTTCGTTTTGTTCATTTTTGCTACTAAGATTGTCACATGTTATTTAATATTATATTAAGGTGTTTTTTTGTTGTTTTTGTATTGTTTTGTGTTTCCTTTTTGGAGTTTTTATTTTAATTTGTACTTCTACATTGCTGTTCCTGCTCCTGTATCTGTTCAACGTGTGAATATTGACAAGTACAAGTTGTAAGGTTGTGAACTATAATAAAAATTGAGTTTTAAAAAAATCATATATGAATGAATAAATATTGCTTGCTTTATATAACAATATCCAAGTTTACAATTCGCTTTCATGGTTTTTGCATTTAAAACTGCTGTTGCCTATCAAACAGGTTTTGACTTTCTCACAAAGCCTGTGATGGAATATTTTTAAACCAATTCTTTATATTATACATTTGATCCCCAAAAACACGAAGTAACAGGAAAACACAGATTTCTGTAAAATAAGGCAACACAGTAATATCGTCTCAGCTGTATGTAGACCAACTCTGTTTATGTATAATAAAGTCTCAAGATGTATCATTAACCTGAAAAAGCCAGCAATTTAACAGAAAATTAAACATTAATTGTAGTAAATGTTTTATATTTAGAGGTCAAAGTGCCAATAAGACGTCTACAGAGTGAGTGACGAGCCAATTAGAGAAGTGACCTTTTCACTGGTGATTCTGTTGTCAAGCTGTGGAAGTACACAAACACCGATATAAACTGCCCTCCGACTGGCATGTAGATGACGATGAAGCAGCTGTTCGCTCACAGACCTGCACAGTTACAGTTAGGAAAAGCATGTAAGGTACATAAACAAAAAAGAAAAATGCAAAGTAAACTAAGATAAAACGAAGTATAAAAATGAGAGCTACGTCAAATGATTTTTTACGAAATAAAAGAATAAACAGGAGAGAATTATTGCCTTCAACACACTGAGCAAAGATGCATATGTGCTCCCTCTTTCCCTCTTCATCATCACTTATTATTCTATTATTCTGTCTTCTTTCCATCTTCAGCTCTACAAAGCCTTTTCCATTCTTCCAGTCCATTCACCTCCTGACATAAAGCATTCAATTAAAACACTAAATACCACACAAATCTTGTGTAGTTTTATGTTTAAATTTCCATCTACTATCAGATCTGTTCATAGACAGCCGGGGTAATTCCCCATGAACCTGAACATAGGAGGGGCGCAGCCAAAAGGAGCCCCTCCTCTGCATTATACTGGATGCTCATATTCTCAGTCTTGGAGTAAATTTGAATTCTGTTCAATCCTATTCAGTTTTATTTATATAGCGCCAAATCACAACAACAGTTGCTTGAAGGTATTTATACTGTAAGGTAAAGACTGCAATAACACAAGCAAGAACTTGGTGACAGTGAGAAGGAAAACTCCCAGGATGAGTACACTACCAGCACTTTGGCTTCCAGCACCATTAGTTGGTGACTTTGCTGAGTCCAAGGCCCGAACGATTACGTTTTCGTGTTTTTAAATCAGATATTGGGTCTGTACATGTGACACTATGGTTTTTTCATATTGTGAAATGTGCTGCAAAACAAACTGAGGTACACTAACTGTGTTACTAAAGGTTAAATTACTTAAGGGTAAAATTAGTGCAGGATAAACAGGTTGTTTTGCTGTGCTGTCATTACTGTTTGTGTACAATAGAAAGACAGCACAATCAGTGTACTGTCAGTGTAGAGGATCGAAATCTGCCAGGACAACTCATAAAACATCTGCTGACATCTGGTTAAATTCAGTTGTGCACAGCCACAGAGAGCAGCAGGTCAGCTGATCACACACAAAGAAAATCTACTGGAGCTCTCAATAGAAATTATTGTGAGTTGTGATTCCTTTATCAGAATTTAAATTTAGACTGAAATAAGGTTTGCCTTCCTATCGCCTAATATTAGACTAATAATAATTTAATTATTACGTTAATGTCACAGTTAGTTTTGCACAAAGACAGGTGGTAGAAATGTTCTTCTACTTCCTCACTTTGAGTACATTTCAGGGTGCTTTTTCACTTTTACTTGAGTAAAAGAAGTTGAATCAGTACTTCAACTTTTACTGGAGTATTTTTCAACACTAGTATCTGTACTTCTACTTAAGTAAAGAGTGTGTGTGCTTTTGCCACCTCTGCAAAGCTGAAAATCTCAAAAATGGCAACAAGTACAAGAACGTTGTGGACCCAAAGGGAAAAAAGAGCAAAGTCTATATATCGTGTATTTTCCAGTCTGTACAGTTCTCATGTCTTGCTGTGAAATACACTCCACCTCCATAAAAGTTCATGTGAAAGAAGTTGTGTCTTGATCTTCTACCAGAACTGCACAAGACAAACCAAGGAATAAAATCTCCCTTTTAAAAGAATTCCTAACAAACAACTGCAGACTCAAACTAAGAAGGAGACAGGAGACACAGGAACAGTGACAACACTGGAATACAAAAACATTAAGGATTGTATGTATTATGGTAGGGCATTGGTGGGCAACTCCAGGCCTCAAGAGCCGGTGTCCTGCAGGTTTTAGATAACACCCTGGGTCAACACACCTGAATCAAATGATTAGTTCATCACCAGGCCTCTGGAGAACTTCAAGAAATGTTGAGGAGGTAATTTAGTCATTTAAATCAGCTGTGAATTAAATCTCGAGGTGTGGAGTTGGTCACCCCTGTTGTAGGGTCTACCTTACAATATAAAGTGCCTTGAAGCGGCTGCTGTTGTGATTTAGTGCTGTATAAATAAAACTGCATTTATTTGAACTGAAGGGAACTTACAGAAAACTTTCCTGATGAATCAGTGGGCTGGACAAGACTGAGTAGTCCGAATACTTCAAACTTTCTCCCAGGTGTGCAGCTGTTCCACTGTCTAGAAAATGTCTTATTGGTCAGAGGACAATCTCGACTGCTATTAAATCTTTGTGCCCTGTCAATAAGGAAGGATCTTCTGTGTATAATCCACCTGAAAACTTGGAACTAAAGATCCAGTGTGAGGTCTTTTATAAGACACAGCCAACAATTTGGCTATTTATTGTCATTTAATGACATAAAATTATATGTGGCTCAGCAAGCCACAGCCTGAAAAGATCACGTGGACCCTCATGTGCACTCATCGCTCGCAGGAGGTGCCATAGAGGTTGGATGTGATGTGTGTGAGGTGACGTTCAATGGCAAAGACGCTGAGAGTCCAATCCATGAATGTTGAGACTGCCTATTGGGACGGGAACACCACCACTCTGGAATGGTGCCATGGCTGCAGTGATGCGGATGCTATACCAGTCTGTTGTGGTGAAGAGGGAGTCGAGCTTAAAAGTAAAATTATGACATTGCCATTCCTTACCCTCATCTACTGCATGGTCACAAGCTCTGAGTAGAGACCAAATCAGTGAGATCACAGATATGAGCTTTCTTCACAGGGTGAGAAGCTCAGTCATTCAACAGAGACAGAATAAATCCCCGACTCTTAAACATCAAAAAGAACACAGGACGCAGGACAGCCACTGCAAGCGATTTATAGAATACGATACTAGACATGAAACATATAATTATTTAAAATGAGCTCAATCTTAAACATTTGCAGGAGTTATATCAAACCATTTAACACTAAAGGGGTCATTTTTCTACAGAATAGTTATTTTAGTTTTTTATGCACAATCATTTTCCAATAATACAGTTTTATTTGTACTGAGGTGTTTTGTTACTCTTTTCCTAATGAAATGGTTTGATAATTTCCTCCACCTCTTGTCATTGTCAGTTAATAGTAAATAATTTTTTATAAGATATTTGTAATATAGCAGACATTTATGTAACTATAGTAGTAGTAATATCTCACAATTATTCAGCCAGGAAGGAGTGCAGAAAGGTGAAGATGTCCATGTAGAGTGCAGACGTGCAGTGAAAAAGGTACATTTTAATCTGCTCCAGTTTATCTTGTTAAACTAATAATTAGTGGAGCTTTTAAGGGTTGCGTTTCTGTAAAAGTCCCCGCAGACCACTGCTTTAGAGTGACTCT